GTAACATGTAATGAAGATAATAAACTAAACTCAGTTGGGACACTAGTCTGTGTTGCTTTTCCACTGGATTCACTCAGGTGTGTCGGCCAGAACCCACTTCAGGCCTTATTCAAGAATATGAATAACAAGAGGGCAGATTTGGTTGAATGGCTGTTTACTTCTTCCTCATAGTGAAACAAAATACAGGCAACTCTGTGGCCATTCAATATGACAGAGTATTAGGTCTTGTTGTGGTTTTCTATGAGAAAAAGAATAGCAGAATATATACTTAAGGAACACATCTGAATGCTTCATCTTACCTCTATAATAACATACAAACACTATACAGTAATAGTAATAGTTATAATATGTAAATAAATAAAGGTAAGCTACATGTCTCTTTAACCTAAAGTATTAAGCAGAGAAAGGCTACCGTAGGCTTAACAGTCATACAATCATTTCTCTATAAAAATACTACGATGCTTTTATTGTGAAGCACGGACATCAAACTTTCCTCCTCGTGCAGAGAGCAACACAGTTAGCAAGCATGTCGGGCCGTGACGTCGGCTAACTAGCATATCCAGAATACACCAAACATCTAAGCTCTAAACTCTGGCTCCGCAGGAGTTAACAACTTTGCCTCAACATTAAAGAACACACAATGTCACATATAAGACTTCAGGTAAGTACTCACTCTTTTCATTCACGCACAACCAACTTCTGAAGTGATTACTCTGCACACTGATGGCTCATCTGTCATCGACTGATGCACACTGCTCATTACTACATGATGTAATTCGCTAAAATGACCAGCAGGTGACACCTCTTCCCTATTGAGCACAATATCATCACATTAAACTGAACAGGAATCAAACACTATTGTAACATAAAGCAAAAACCTTAACATGTAACTTTGGGCCTTTTCTACATAACATTTCTTGTATCTAAAACAAATACAGTGAACTCCTGGAGTATTGGGACACTGACATCCTTTTGTTTTTTTTTGTTTCTGTACTCCACCATGATGGACTTGAATTAAAACAACCAGTTTGTGTTAAAGGATCAGACAGTCAACTTTAAATTGAGGGTATTAAAGATTTAATGGTTATACTTTGCATTAAGCAATTTCAACTTCCATGGACGGGACAATAACACAGCTGTAGTGGCTTGATCTTGCGTATATCAAAAGTTTGCCACTGAGGGGCTGATAGCCTACCGTATGGAAAGCCGATTGAAGATTTAATAGATATCCTTGATATCAAAGCTCAGTTTCCTGTACTAGTCAAGTCTTTGGCCGCACTAGTTTACTAGTAGAACGTTGAAAGACTTACTAGTAAACTAGTAGAAGGCAAAAAGTCCTACATGTTAACTAGTAAGGTGCAAAATATCTACTAGTTAACTAGTAAGATATATTTTGTGTCTACTAGTTAACTAGTGAGCCTAAAAATGTTTACTAGTTAACTAGTAAGAGCCAAAATGTCCACTAGTAAGCTAGAAAGGCATATATATGGACCATACTAGCTAACTAGTTAGGATAAAAAGTTTTTACAAGTTAACTAGTAAGAGCAGAAAGGTCCACTAGTTGTACTAGAGATGGCTTTATTAGTCTTACTAGTTAACTAGTGCGGCTCTAAATGTTCACTAGTTAACTAGTAAGAGAACAAATGTCCACTAGTTGCACTAGTATCATCTTTACAAGTCGTACTAGTTAACTAGTGAGACTTAAATATTTTACTAGTAAACTAGCTAGATCTAAAATGTCACTAGTAACACTTGTTGCACAAAATGGTAACGAGGAGGTGGGGGATAAGTGTGGATTGAGGCTTATGATAGGCTCTAAAAATCAAGAACAAAAATAACATCAAATCAGGACCCAGGATTTGGTTATAATCCCACCCACTGCATTTACATATTGCACACTAGTCAACTAGTTGGATTGCAGGATTAGAACTATCTTACTAGTCGATATCTGTTTTCATTTTACTAGTTAACTAGTTAGACACAAATGCTAACTAGTTAACTAGTTAATCTCATAATGGTAACTAGTAACACTAGTGAAGATGCATTTTACCTTTCTAGGTCACTAGTAAGATAAAATGTGTCAACTAGTAACACTAGTTGGAATATTTTTAAACCTACTAGTTAACTAGTGAGGCTCGGAAACGTTTACTAGTTAACATGTAGCAGCTAAAATGTCAACTAGTCACACTACTGAGGGCGGTTTTAACCTTACTAGTTTACTAGTAAAGCCCTATACAGTTTACGAGTAAACTAGTAAGTGCCTTTTTGTCCACTAGTTAAACTAGCTAGTGTCTTTTTGGCCTCACTAGTAAACTAGTTGAAGACTTTGTGTGGCACTAGTAAACTAGTTGCAGGCAAAACAGCATACTAGTGGACATTTGCTTTTGACTAGTAAACTAGTTGAATGATATATTTGACAAGTTTACATGCTGAACAGTTAAAACCCTTTACTAGTTAACTAGTTGAACACAGATGTCAACTAGTAGTCTGATCTGTTGACTACTAGTTAACTTGTGACTGACAATTTATCTAACTAGTTAACTAGTACTGCCAAAAAGACCCTTACTAGTACAACTAGTGGACATTTTGCAATTACTTATTAACTAGTTAACTGTGTTTGGCCTCACTAGTTAACTAGCAAGGTCACACATGGTCTAACTGGTAAACTAGTGGACATTTTGACTCGTTCTAGTTAACTAGTATGCATTTAAAGCCTCACTAGTTTACTAGTAAGGCCTTGAAGACCAAAGTAGTGATACTAGTGTGCATTTTTTTTCACTAGTACTACTAGTAAACATCTTGAGCCCTACTTGTTAACTAGTAAGGTCAATTAGACTGCAACTAGTGGTACTAGTGACATTTATGCCCTTAGTAATAAACTAGTTAAGCTTTTTGAACATCATTAGTTTACTAGTAAAGTCGAAATGTGTTTTACAAGTGTAACTAGTGGACATTTGGTCCTTACTAGTTTACTTGTAAATGTCAACTGGCAGTCCACTAGTAGTACTAGTAGCACTAGTTGACCGCATGATAATGAAGCAGGCGGGACAAGGATTTTGATTGGTCAATGTCAAACCTGCGATTTTGCCAGCCTTAAAGGGCCAGATCTGAATAGTACCTTCGGTTAAACCAGCACTAATTTCTGAAGGTTTGTTCATTTGTGTCATGTTATATTATCACTAAATGGTAACTCACTGAATGCCCTTTGATAGAATTTTATGACCCATGCACAGATTAAATCCAAATCTGATGTTACATTGTTATTCATCTTTTCAACTTTTTTGTTTTTAAACTTAGTATTATTTGTTCTAAAAATCACTAATGATTATTCATTATTGCAGTATTTGTCAAAAAATAAACAATAACCCATCACTTAATATTTATATATAGTAGTATGATTGAATAAAATAAAATCTTGCACAACATTAATGTTCAAGGATTTTAGCTTTTTTCTTGCCATTGAAAATATGGCAATATAAAATATGAAAGATATACTAGTTTGAAACTTGCAAAGTGAAAAATTAAGTATATTCTTTTTAAATCATGAAAGAAATGTGTTTATATTTAGTTTATCTGCTAGATGATCATGCAAAATATTGAATAAAATATTAGGATTTAGGACAAGTGTATACTGAATTATTAAACTAATGTGAATAAGATGTTTTAATGTTTTTTTAATAAATATAAAGTCAGCCTCTTACATCTGGAGAAATAACCCTTATACAAGAAGTAGCTGCAGAGAGATATGCATTTCGGCCATTAGGTGTCAGTTGCAGGATCGGTATGTTATGGACTTGCTAAATTTTCTTGGTTTAGCTTCGAGTAAGCCCAGCAGAAAAGATACATATGGCAGTGAGCAGATATAAGTGCACAAGCAACATACATTAAGATTTATTTATCATATGAGGAGTCATGTTTTTATGATTAAAGCATAAAATTAAGATACTACTTGCAAATGCCCACCAGATGGTGCTATACTTATATATGCTGCTAATGTGTACAGTACTAGTACTACTAGTGGACATTTAGGCTCTTACTAGTAGCACTAGTTGCACTAGTAGCACTAGTAGTACTAGTAGCACTAGTTGCACTAGTTGCACTAGTAGTACTAGTAGCACTAGTTGTACTAGTAGCACTAGTACTACTAGTGGACATTTAGGCTCTTACTAGTAGCACTAGTTGCACTAGTAGCACTAGTAGTACTAGTAGCACTAGTTGCACTAGTTGCACTAGTAGTACTAGTAGCACTAGTTGTACTAGTAGCACTAGTACTACTAGTGGACATTTAGGCTCTTACTAGTAGCACTAGTCGCACTAGTAGCACTAGTAGTACTAGTAGCACTAGTTGCACTAGTTGCACTAGTTGCACTAGTAGTACTAGTAGCACTAGTTGTACTAGTAGCACTAGTACTACTAGTGGACATTTAGGCTCTTACTAGTAGCACTAGTGCTACTAGTGCGACTAGTGCGACTAGTGCTACTAGTAAGAGCCTAAATGTCCACTAGTAGTACTAGTGCTACTAGTGCGACTAGTGCGACTAGTGCGACTAGTGCTACTAGTGCGACTAGTGCGACTAGTGCTACTAGTGCTACTAGTGCGACTAGTGCGACTAGTGCTACTAGTGCTACTAGTGCTACTAGTGCGACTAGTGCGACTAGTCGCACTAGTAAAGGCCTAAATGTCAACTAGTAGTACTAGTACTGTAGACAGTATATGTACGTATAGCACCATCTGTGGGGCATTTGCAAATATTACAATTTTTAACCTTTACTGTACATGATAAAATTAAATTTTTAGGGCTCATTTATACAATGGAGTAGAGCCATCTTAAAGAAAAAAAGAGAAAATATTAATCTTGTATATGTACGAGAATAAACATGTAAATTTAGGAGAATAAAAAAATGATGAAAGGAGAACCCCTAAAGCATTTTCCTCTGCCACAAAGAGACAGTTTCATCCAAGTCAGTGTGGTTCTTTCTTTGGAAAATTACAGTTGCTTCCAGTATCTTTTCAGGGTCCTAATATTTTATGACAATGTGATGATGATGTGCTGATAAAACAACTTATCGGATATATTTGTCAAACTGTTTTTACAGACTACACAAGGAAGGAGCCTATTTCCTTATTTGTCAAACCTTTACTATAACAAGATGCTCCACGTTTATCATTTTCGAACAGGCGGCTCCTGCTCTTCTGATATACCAATATATTCTACTATTATATTATATAATATATTATATGTTCAAGTATTCAGCTGTTTTATGAAGGGAAATGTTTAAACTATTTAAGAAAATACTAAAGGGGACTTTGTCTCAATCATAAACAGTGTAGAGTATTTTAGTGTTTTTAGTTTTTTTATTTTTAGTCTCAAATGCAGCCTCAAAGGCTGATGTAGCTGCAACTAAACCTGAGATGAAAGATAATCCATTTATTGTTTTAAAATGAACCTGTATGAGCTTAAATATTAGATGTTTTAGTCTCTGTTTGTTTACCTATTAAATACTGAAGCTTCTAACTGAATCTTCTTGGTTTTAAGTATTTATTTTCACACATCTGAGATATGTTAAGTTGCAGCTGCTTACAAGACCCAACTTCCTCATTCATCTGCTTCAAAATAAAAGCACATGACATAGATGGTAATAAGGGACTTTTATTGTGAAAGACTTTCCGGAACTAAATGCGTTTATCACTCGGAGCTGCAGCGGCGATTGTAGTTGCGAAGGCTGTAGTGAGAAAGAGTACTCAGCCACTTCCTTGCCCAAGAGTTAGAGCCACAGCCAACTTATTTGAATCATCTTGGACTTAAGACAATGAGACATCAGTTTATAAACACCTTCAGCAGGTAGACCCACAGTAGTGGAGGTGCTTCTCCGTGCTAGCTGAAGTGGCACCGAGCCAAGAAAAGGGTCTCTGTCTGTCTGTCTCTCTCTCTCTCTCTCTTTCTCTCTGTCTCTGTCTACGACTAGTGCTACTAGTGTGACTAGTGCTACTAGTGTGACTAGTGCTACTAGTACAACTAGTGTGACTAGTGCTACTAGTGTGACTAGTGCTACTAGTACAACTAGTGTGACTAGTGCTACTAGTGTGACTAGTGCTACTAGTACGACTAGTGTGACTAGTGCTACTAGTACGACTAGTGTGACTAGTGTGACTAGTGCTACTAGTACGACTAGTGCGACTAGTGCTACTAGTACGACTAGTACGACTAGTGTGACTAGTACGACTAGTGTGACTAGTGCTACTAGTGTGACTAGTGCTACTAGTACAACTAGTGTGACTAGTGCTACTAGTGTGACTAGTGCTACTAGTACAACTAGTGTGACTAGTGCTACTAGTACAACTAGTGTGACTAGTGCTACTAGTGTGACTAGTGCTACTAGTACGACTAGTGTGACTAGTGCTACTAGTACGACTAGTGTGACTAGTGCTACTAGTGCGACTAGTGTGACTAGTGCTACTAGTACGACTAGTGCGACTAGTGCTACTAGTACGACTAGTACGACTAGTGTGACTAGTGTGACTAGTACGACTAGTGTGACTAGTGCTACTAGTGTGACTAGTGCTACTAGTACAACTAGTGTGACTAGTGCTACTAGTGTGACTAGTGCTACTAGTACAACTAGTGTGACTAGTGCTACTAGTACAACTAGTGTGACTAGTGCTACTAGTACAACTAGTGTGACTAGTGCTACTAGTGTGACTAGTGCTACTAGTACGACTAGTGTGACTAGTGCTACTAGTACGACTAGTGTGACTAGTGCTACTAGTACGACTAGTACGACTAGTGTGACTAGTGCTACTAGTACGACTAGTGTGACTAGTGCTACTAGTGTGACTAGTGCTACTAGTACGACTAGTGTGACTAGTGCTACTAGTACGACTAGTGTGACTAGTGTGACTAGTGTGACTAGTGCTACTAGTACGACTAGTGTGACTAGTGTGACTAGTGCTACTAGTACGACTAGTACGACTAGTGTGACTAGTGTGACTAGTACGACTAGTGTGACTAGTGCGACTAGTGCGACTAGTGCGACTAGTGCAACTAGTACTGTAGACATTAGCAGTATATATACGTATAGCCCCATCTGTGGGGCATTTGCAAGTAGTACAATTTTTAACCTTCATTTTACATAATAAAATTACATTTTTAGGGCTCATTTATACGATGGAGTAGAGCCATCTTAAAGAAAAAAAAAGAAAATATTTGAGATTAATCTTGTATATGTACGAGAATAAACATGTAGATTTAGGAGAATAAAGTCATAAATTTACGAAAATGTACATTCATAGAGAAGCCTTCCGCCTGCGCATAAATGATGAAAGGAGAACCCCTAAAGCATTTTCCTCTGCCACAAAAGTTACAGTTGCTTCCAGTATCTTTTCAGGGTCCTGATATTTTATTTGTGATGATGATATGCCGATAAAACAACTTATCGGATATATTTGTCCAACTGTTTTTACAGACTACACAAGGAAGGAGCCTATTTCCTTATTTGTTAAACCTTTACTATAACAAGATGCTCCACGTTTATCATTTTCGAACAGGCGGCTGCTGCTCTTCTGATATAGACTTAAACAAGAAATTAATCTCGTACATTTGACTTTATTCTCATAAATTAACTATTTGAATCTCTAAATTTTAGGTTTTTTTCCTTTTACGTGGCCCTAATCTTGAATCCCTTTATTTTTCTTAGTTTACCGACTTTAGGCCAAATTAAAACGTATTAAGTACAAGAACATAAATTCTGTATCAAGTTCCAGTTGTTTTAAAGTCCATAATTTTATCTGATTAACTTTTTTCCTTTTTAAAAACAGCATGAATTTATATGAAATATTTACACATTCATTTTTAACTTACAATTGCACCTTGGGCATTTTTTTATCACTCTACTGACCTTAAGATGTACTCTTTCTTATGTTTTCTGTAAATACTGTCTTGATGGGATAAAAAAGGAAAAAGAAAATCATGAGAACAGTTCTAAAATGATCTTCTATCTTATTTTAAGTTTATAAAACAATTCTAACATTTAATATATATATAATTTTCATGTTTTACTCTCCATGGAAAGTAAGGAAGAAGCCGTTGCTTCACAGCACTTGCTCCTTCTTACAAAGGGTTAAATTTGTGGAAGGTGGAGGTCTATATGGAGAACCAATGATAAGGTTCAGAGAGTGCCCTGATCCCACCCACTCATTAGCATGTACTTCAACCAGTGTTTCTAGTACGCATTTTGGCTTTCACTAGTAGTACTAGTTAACATTTAAAACCGTAGTAGTTAACTAGTTATGCCAAAAAGAGTACTACTAGTGTAACTAGTGACATTTTGGCTCTTACTAGATAACTAGTTAACCATTTTGAGCCTCACTAGTTCACTAGTAGCACTAAAATGTCCTGAACTAGTGTTACTAGTTGGCTTTTTGCACTAACTAGTTAACTAGTGGACTTTAAGAGCCTCACTAGTAAACTAGTAAAATTTGTAACTGCATCACTAGTGATACTAGTGGACATTTGGGTCTTACTAGTTAACTAGTAAACATTTTGAACCTCACTAGTTTACAAGTAAGGTTAAAAAGAGTCAAACTAGCTTACTAGTGGACATTGTTGCTCTTACTAGTTAACTAGTAAACATTTTTAGGCTCACTAGTTAACTAGTAGACACAAAATATATCTTACTAGTTAACTAGTAGATATTTTGCACCTTACTAGTTAACATGTAGGACTTTTTGCCTTCTACTAGTTTACTAGTAAGTCTTTCAACGTTCTACTAGTAAACTAGTGCGGCCAAAGACTTGACTAGTACAGGAAACTGAGCTTTGATATCAAGGATATCTATTAAATCTTCAATCGGCTTTCCATACTACCGTACTTAATTGACATGCTGTTTCCGTGTTTCGTGGCAATAACTCAATCAACTCCGTGCTGTCACACTCAAAACAGGTTTATCTGAATCGTTCATTTACAATACATATTCTGGTTGTCTACATACACTTATTCCACTATAACATGAATGTAAAACAAAGCCAGGATAAATGTTCCATTCACGATACATTTCAACAGCGGTCAAAAACTGTGTGCCTCTCACGGTGGGCTGCTCACCTGTCCGTGATTAACTCTTCCTCTACTTGTAACCTTCCCAACACCAAAGTGAATGTGCCCACTACTGTCACCACAAGGAACTACCACAGAGCACACATACATACTGAACACACAAATGGCTCTAACAACAGCTAAGATACATTATCTGTCATCAGTCCATATCGCAGCAAACACATATAACATGACGCAGAAAGAAGTATGGATTCTCAACAAAAAAGAAACTGGAGAGGAGGCGTCTCGTCAATGTGATGTCTGTGAGCCACAGGGAGAACGTGAAACCACATGGATGAAAGTGAAGCAGCCAACATGGCCGACAAAAAGCAGCAGATTCAGATCAGAGAGACGTTCTCCATCCAATCACATTGTAATGTCCTCCAGTATAAGAGCTGAGCCTCAGGTAGCTGTGACATCTTACCTGTGTGCAGTCAGGACATTTCAGAGCCCGGACATTTCACCTTTTAATGGAGTGAAGAAAATGAATCACTTCCTCTACATTTACCCGTCTCTTTTTTCTAAACAAGTATCTGTACTTCTGCTTGATAAAGATCGTGTGTGTACTCTGCTGCCACGTTTTGGTTCTTCCGTTATTAAAAGTGGTTCACATGTTGTGTTCAACACTCTTGCTTTCTCATTTTTTTTAAACTGAAAATGTAATACAGTTGTACAGAACCAAAATCACAATACAGGTTAAAGTTTGTCACTGTCCAAGTATTCATAGAGCCGACTATGACTAGTTAGTGTAAACGCATGAAGCATTTGTTACCTACTTTAAGTTTTCTTGGCTTTTTCAGTTGAATCAACAAATGTATTTTTTGTGCAGAATGTAACCCTGCAGCTGCTCAGTGGAACAGACAGACTGTCACAGAAACCGATTAAGAGTGAAGAGGAAGCAGAGAAGGAGGAAGAAAGTGAAGATGTGAGACAAAGAGAGGAGACGTGTCAGCAGCACGTCCATGTGAATGGAGAGAGAGAAGAGAAGGAGGAGGAAGACGAGCATGAGGATGATTCTAACAGAGTGGGCGAGACTGTGAAGGATCAGGAAGTATCAACAGAGAAGCAGGCAGAGGCAGCAAGTGAGTCAAAGACACAGGCAGAGACTTTAGAGAAAACTGATCCCAACCCAGCTTCAGCCGCTGAACCCAAACAACCAGAGACACCAGCAGCTGAGGCTGCAGCAGAGTCTACAGTACAAGAGGAGCAGGTGGAGCTCTCTTTTCCAGAAACCTCTACACAGGAAAAAGACACCAACAGGTCTGCAGAGTCACAAGACGAACCTGAAGAGAGACCTCCACCTGCAGACCGACAGGAAAGTGTGTCAGAAGTAAAAGCTGCAGCGAGCAGCGAGATGAAGCAGGAGTGTGTGGAGGACAGAGAGCACGAAGGAGAAATACAAGCTGACTCTCAGAAAGCTTTTTCACCCCCCGGTTAACCCCCCTCCACCCCCGAACGCCCTTCAAAAGAGCTCAGGAGAAGACGTGAGGTGAGTCCTGCAGCTGTCAGTAAAACCTCCAAAATGTTCAAGCCCCCAGCCTCCAGTGATTCCAGTGAATCACCGGTGTGATGGAGGTGATGCAGACTAACACTCTGCAGGGAGGTAACCTTTCAACTACAGGAGATTTATTTATAGATTATTAAAGGGCAAGCATCTGGTCTAAAGAAGACTACATCTGTAAAAGAATAAGAAAGTAAAAAGGAAATATTCCAGTGTATATATTTAAAAAAGATACAAAAAGGAGGAAACATGATAAAATAGGGAAAGTATTTTCATTTATTTTTTCAACTTTATTTGTCCAATTCTTTCTATTTTAAATGATATTAGGGCTGTCAAATGATTAATTTTTTTTTTAAAAATCTGGATCAATTGCTGAACATCAGTTGTTAATTGCAATCAATCACATTTTTTATCACACGTTAAAAATTCAATTATTTTGCATTTCAAATCTGTTTTTAAGTCCATATGCACGATGTAAAGCAGTTCTTACCAGTGTCTTGATTTTGCAATTAAATATTTGTAAATAAATGTACTTTATGACCTTGACTTTTAGATTTATTTTGTAAATAAATGCTGCACTGCTACAGCAGTGTGGTGTGACATCATGACTTCTTCTACAAAGTCTAACACTGTTATAAGAAGTGTGCATGTAAATGGACTTGAGCTTGTTTAGTACTACTCTTCTTTTACACTGCAGGCCACACCTACATTTGAATGTATTTGTTTAATAGGGACGATGCAGTTTAACATATTTTCAATACAGAGCATGTAACTGATGTGCTGCACACAGAGTTTATACTATTGCTTATTTACAACTCTTGTCCCTAGTTGGCCTTCAGGTAAATAAAAATGTAAAATGTACAACATTCAATCAAATAAAACCACATAACACTATTATGAGGAAACATTAAAATACATATACAACAATATGACAATAGAAAATCCTAAAAAACTATTAAAATGACAGATTTAAGATATTCTATCCACACACTGATGGCAGAGGCTGCTCTGTGAAGTGTCCATCAGATTTAAATAGTCCATTCATCCACATTTACATGCCGTGAACAAAGCAGCAAAGCAACTTGGGGTTAAGAGTCTTGCCTAAGGAGGACACTGCGGACATGTGGCTGCAGGAGCTGGAGATCGAACCTCCAACCTTCTGGTTGAGAGATGACCGACTCTACCAACTGAGTCACAGCCAACCCAAGTACGAAATGAGTCACTGAAGTCCTACTGTATCATCCCCGGTTAATGGGACAGCATTTGCACTTTTCAGGACGTCCAGTTTAGTTGCTTTCTCTGTGTGAGTACTGTGAAGCAGTCATAGAGTCAAATAAGCCAGCACAGTGGTGTCGTTATTTTTTTTTACTGCGGGAGCAGGATGATGCTTCAGTGACTTAAAGATGGTTCCCCTGAAGGGACAAAATAGAACATCGTTGATGGAGTTACAAAGAAATGACCACGTTCATTTTGGACTTTAATTGCATCTCTTGTAGTGTGTAGATTCAGCCACCAGGGGGCTCTCAATTAATCCAACAATAACAAAAGATAACGTTGATGCTGGCGGGGAATTATGGGAGTTCTCTCTCCTAGTGTCTGTCATGGCGGCCGCCTCAACAAGACACGTCCCGTTACAACCATAAACTTACATTGTAATACAATTCTACATATTGTACGTTTAAATCTATAAAATAAAATATATTCATATCTTCAAACACGTAAATAGAGATATACTGTACATGTGAGCGGGGGAGAGTCTGACAACATGTGCCAGTATTACTAACATGTTTATTTCATGTAATGTGACCACAGATGTAACATATTTGTGCCGCCGTCTCTAAAAATGAATGCATGATTCCCTTCAAACTAACCACCTCTATGAACTGCTGTTTCCTGCTGCTTTCTGCCTCTTCTTCCTCTTCTCCCCTGCCCCCTGTCCCGCCCACCCCTCTGCCCCCGACTCTTTTATTTCTGCTATTCTCTCAGTCTGACTGGGGGAATGGGTGAGGAAAATGGAGAGGAGCCATTTTTCCAGAACACAAATCCTGCAAAAACCCCCCGCAGCTCCCAGTGAGGAGGAAGAGGAGGATGAGATGGTGAGAACGGATCTGTAGGGTGAAAGCTCTGAGGTTTAGTCCAGCACTCTGCATCCCTTCCCCTTGTGTTTTGTTTCAGTGTTGAGTCTGTCTTTTTGCTAAATATTCAGTAAAAAATAATGTATCAGCTAAATCTCTAAATGAAAGTTAAAAGGACACATTCATGTTATTTCTCTGCTGTCCCTCCAGAGTCTGAAGGGCCGCCCACCCCCCGCCCCTCTGTTTGGTGATGATGAGGAGGAGGATGATGATCTAGACTGGCTGAACTGAGCTGTATCCAGGATAAAATCAAAGTCTGCGTCTTCATTTCCAGCATATATAAAAAGGCGCATGGTTCCTTCTGCAGCTGTGTCTGCCCTGTGGGAGCAGTGAAGATGACAGGGGCGGCCTCTGCGGCTGGATCTGATTGGACGGAGCCCGATCTGAGCGCCCTCCTCTTCGTCTAAGAGTCGTCCTGCTGACTGACAGCTGCTGTCTGTTGAGAACAAAGCTGCTGCTCCAGACTCTGATTGTGGTTCAAATCCCAAGCCTGTAATTCACAGAAGAATCAAAACCACTTCATTTCATTTGTCATGTGTTGATGATGCAGTTTAATTCATGTTTCTACATGGCACTGTAGCAGATTAGTTTGTCCAATCAGCAGTAATCCTGTCGTCTGTTTTCTTTTTTTAGACTGTAAACCATGAAATGGTTTTGATTATTAGCTCGCTGCTTTAGAAATAGAACTTTTAATAAAGTCTTTGCTAACCTGAAATTCATTCCAGAAAAATAAAGGAGGTGAAAATGTGTCTCTATCTCTGAGTGGTTGAATCTGTTTGTCTGAAGTGAGTGATCATTCACTTTTATATCAGATGTTTTTAGAAACAAAGAAGCTTCTCAAGCATTAAATGTCTTTACATTGAATTTGAATGTTTTGTCTGTTTTTAAGTATCAAAGTGCATTTGTTTTATCTCCCAATGTAAACATTAGTAAATAACATTTTGTTAATGTTTAGTTTTTAAATGTCAAAACAACAGAGCCATTCAAGAGACGTTTACTTTGATCATTAACAATGAAAAGCATTCAAACTTCACCTGTAAGAAGCAGGAAATAAAGCAGATGTTCAGTTTTATTTCATCATTTTTAAGTTTATTTTTTCTTACTGGTCTAAATGGGCCTCCACACTAACAAACTGTCTCTCATACTAGTTTCACATTTTCTCCATCAGCTTTGTTTGACATCCTGCAATGAAGACAAGAAGAAAACACTTTGTTCCTGTTTGTTTATTTAGGATGTAAAACACCAGCTTGTTCAAACATCAGATCAATAAACTCTGTTCAATCAATCCATCCATTAACTTTTGATTTAAGACTACTTGATCAGAATCTCAGCTATGAAAAAGAAAATAATAACAATCTCATTGATTTCATACTTCAGAGTACATTTTTAATCAATTTAACTTTAAACAACAAAATTCATTCTGCAGAAAGAAATAATTCTGTAAGTTTAATTTGAGATGTTTCTGGTGAAAACACAATATCTACATGAAAGAAAAGGCCTGGTGCTTTCTCTCTTAACACCCTTTAATTAGAACAAAAACAATCAGTAGTCATTGTAAACACATTTAAAGTGAAGAAAAGTTGAAATGTTCATGCAGAGAAAACGTCAGTTCAGCTGAACAAAAATCCTCATGAGCAGTAAAGCCTCTGTGACTAAACAGAAACAGCTAAAGAGAGTTATTTAAAGAGACTCAAACAGTTACAGAACAAGTGAGAAGATGTCAAAGTACCGCCCATAAAGTTTGATTGACAGGTGAACAATGTAACCACAATCAGCTCTCAGCAACAAACATGAATAATGATCAAGTTGAAGGATTAAAGTTTAACCCACTGTTCCTTTGAATGACTTCTGTCTATTTCAGTTTACACAACTCAGCACTAGATCCAGGATGAATATAAAGTCCAGCATGTAGAGGCTGAGTGAATGTGGTCTGGACTCTGTGGAGGAGAGTCATGGTTTCAGAGATGCTGTAGAAGGACAGAATACCTGCTCTGTGATCCAGGTACACTCCTACTCTGGAGGACTGAGGACCTGAGACACGAGTGCTGACAGTGTTGTAATAAAAGTTATAACTGTTGTTGTTACAATCTAACATCCAAGATTTGTCATTGCCTCCAAATACACTTTCATTCCCGCTTCCTGTTCTGCTGATATTCTTGTATGCGACTGCTACACGAACTCCTCCTCCTCTCTCCAGTTCCCAGTAACAACGACCAGTCAGACTCTCTGGACTCAGGACCTGATACTGATTAGTGAATCTGTCTGGGTGACTAGAATAAGACTGTTGTTGACCCGTGCGTGTTACTTTTCTGTTTCCATCATATAATAACAGATATGTGTGTGCTGTGTTTGGATCCAGTGTGATGTCACATGAATATTGTAAGAAGTCAGCTCTGGTCTTGGGCTCTGGTTGTGACAGTAAAACATCCACTTCAGTCACTCTCTGTGAGATGTTTGTCCATTTCTCTCTCAGGACGTCCTCTAGTTTATCTCTGACTTCTGACACAGCTGCTGTCACATCCTCAAAGTACCTCAGAGGACGGATATTGATGCTGGATGAGTGTTTAGATTCACAGAGTGGTGACAGTGAGGGGTAGTCGTGTAGAAACTGGTTGTGGTCCTGTGTGTGTGAGAGCTTCTCCAGTTCAGCGTCTCTCCTCTTCAGCTCAGTGATCTCCTGCTCCAGCTTCTCCTGAAGCTCTCTGACTCGACTCACTTCAGTTTGCTGCTGAGATCTGACCTGCTGCTTCACATCAGAGCGTCTTTTCTCCATGAGACGAATCATCTCTGTGAAGATCTTCTCACTGCCCGCCACTGCTTTATCAGCGGAGCCATTGATATCCTCCACCTCCTGTTGAAGCAGCTTCACATCTTTCTCTCTGTCCTGGATTCTCTGCTGGATGTTTTGTCGACTCACCTCCAGCTCTCTCTGCTTCTCGGTCCTCTCTGCTGCAGCTGAGACTGTGTCGTGGCCTTTATGTTCATCCACAGAGCAGAGATAACAGATAGACTGCTGATCAGTACGACAGAACATCTTCATCACCTCATCATGACGAGAGCAGACGTTCTCCTGGAGCTTCTTGGAGGGCTCCACCAGCTTGTGTTTCTTCCATGAAGCCACTTCAAAATGAGGCTGCAGGTGTTTCTCACAGAAAGAAGCCAGACATTGTAGACAGGACTTACAGGCTTTCAGTTTTCTCTCGGTGCAGAAATCACAGGCCACATCTTCAGGTCCAGCATAGCAGTGATCAGCAGGAGCAGCTTGGTGTCCAGTCTTCTTCAGCTCCTCCACTAAAACTGCTAACATGGTGCTTTTCACCAGGACAGGCCTCACTGGGAAGGTCTGCCTACACTGAGGGCAGCTGTAGATTTTCTTCTCCTCCTCTTTATCCCAGTGGGTTTTAATACAGTTCATACAGTAGCTGTGTCCACAGGGAACAGTCACCGGATCCTTCAGTAGATCCAGACAGATCGAACAAGAGAAGGTTTCCCGGTCCAGCTGAACTCCTTTCTGCGCCATTTCTCCTCTCAGTGACAACGACTGTCTGAGTTTCACTTCCTGAGAACTGAAACTATTTCACCACTGATCTACAAAACATGTGTTTGTGCTTCAGCTGGTCTTGGTTACACCCATCTGTAAACTGTAGATCTAAAGGGGAGGGAACCAGGAAATACTGGGTCAGAGTGGAGCTGGCTGTGTTTGAGAGCAGGCAGGAGAGGGAGGGGTTATCAAGCTCTTTGAACCAGAAAGAGGAGCAGCACTGTGAATCTTTAACTTTGTTTCCTCATTCCTCGTACATTTAATGGTCTTGTTTGCCTTCTTCTTATTGCAGGACATCAATGAAAAAAGTAGCTTGGCATGCGTTCTTGTTAAACTGTCAGTAGCAGTAGCCATACAGTCCATTTCTTATGATGAGAGGAAATGTTTTTAGACATTACTTTGGTTAGAGCATCAGAGTGGTGCATTTAAATATTTCAATGGTTTATTTCAAACCATCTACTATATATTTGAAGTGTAGAGTGTTAAACACAGATTAAATTAATGAAAACCCCTGTGGATACAGTGCTGTAATTACATGATCTCTTTACAGATCTGCATGTCCATGTAGTTACATAGAGGCAGTTGTAAATAGTAATGAAAAACAACAATATATCTCCTTAGATAAACCTGATGGCTCCATTACAAACACTTACTGTGCAAACAAATATTTTTCCCCAACACAAAATATTATTTTTTTTATGGATAGAAGCATTTATATTGATTAATTGATTGAAGTTCATTTCGAACATGAAAAAGAGAGAAGAAAGAACACAGAGAAAACAAAGTATTATGTACAGACGATGAAAGACATCATACAAAAGGAGCTCTCAAATACTTTCTACTTTAATTTACACATCTGAACAGGAGTGGGAAGAAGTATAAATTTATTTAATCCCACCTCTTATGACGGAGGAACATGAAAAAATAAAACAGGAAATGAAATCAAAGCAGTGAAATAAATAAAATACAAAACTAAACAAGGACATATCTTGACATAAGGTATATTTCTTAAAGACAAACTATGATTTGTTTGTTTACTATTCAATCCAAACCAGTTTGATTTATAAATCACATTTTAAAAAAACACAAAAGTTCTGTACAATCAAATATAATAACACAATAAAACACAGAGACCAAAGTAAAAAGAGCCAGAAAGTTGAGGAACAAAAGTGTAAATGTGTTTTAAAGGTTTGATATAATAACAGGCAATGCTACATGCATGGCAGTTTGTCTCACTGATTTGTGTTTGAATTCTTGAAGGCACAGTGTTCGCTCTGCTACCCGGTCACAAAACATCTTTTTGTTTTATGTTCCCAAAGTGCGTCTTGAAACGGGGAAAAGGTGTTTCAGGTACGCTGCGGCCTGGAATCTCCTGCAGGATGATGTGTGTCTGGGGGAGCTGGTCTCTATGAATCTTTTTAAAAAGTAGATTGAAGGTATTGGAGGAAGATGCGTCAGGTTTTCATTTGAATATCGACTTTTCTTCTCTGTGACTCAGGATGTGCTGATCAGTGTCTGTAATTGTTTTGTGTTTTATCTCTGTTACTTGTTTATTGTGCTGCTGCGTGTCTTGGAGGAGACGCTCTGTCTTAATCTCAATGAGGTTTTCCTGGTTAAATACATTTTAATAAAAATATACAAGCAAAATGAAATGAATCCTCTAGCCCATAATCTAATTCTGCCACCAGTTCTAGATAATTAATCAAAATTCTGATTATGTAAGGACACTCCTTGATCTACAGCTCCTTATAGAAGATGAAAATAGAATATAATGATATCAAATATGAACTGAAAGACGTGAAAAGACGGATGTGTTTAATGCCCATCAGCTGT